TGTAATGGAGCAATTAATCGTATTATAGATGTAAGTTATTGAGTTTTTATTACTTTACTCTAAATAAAACACAGCTTTAAACAATTTCAATGAAATTTCGGAAAAAATGTGGCTTTTGTGCAATGCAAAACTTGCTATAATCTCGTCCGAAAAGGCGAAAAAGTGAACTTAACTTGATTTAAGACTCTCAACGAGGTATTGATTTGTCAAGTTTCGAAGTATGATTAATACTCGTAAGTTGATAAAACTTTTGAGATTCAGAAAATTTCTATTTTATTGGGGATTTTAAGCGCAAAATTGAACACTGTTTAGTGTTCAGTGACACGAACAATCAGACTTAGTACTTTAAAATCAAATTGTTAAAGTGTAATTTTATTACCGTAAAAGTAATTTTAAAATTTTAACACTGGTCAAAGTAGAACTTTTGCGACTTGAGGAAAGAAGCTTCAGTGTGTAACAAGTTTAGTTGAATTAAATTTGCTGATTTTCCGGTTGAGTATTACAGACAGGCGAATTTTGCCATAAAGCGTGGTTTAATGCTGATGAAATATATTGTGTGTGTCTTTATAGGAGTTATAAAATATTAACTACATAAATGTTGCGGTAAAAATATTACGACTCAATAAAAACTCAATAAATAAAAAATTCTGACTCACTACACCTTCGGGAAAAAGGAACGGTGAAAATGTCCACCGGAAGTGGTTTTCCTAGTTCCTCTTCTTTCCGGTCTCTTTTTCCTAAATGTGTGTTTTGAGTTGATTTATACGGCAAAAGATAAGGACGGCAAAATACTACTGTGATAAATTTAATATTATACAGCGAGAGCTCGTTTAGGTGCACTCTCATCTCTTATAGCCTGTTTACTTTGCAAGCGTACTTATCAACTGAAAAGAAAAATTTCCAACTTAATGTAACAAAAATTCTTCCGTCCTTAATTAGGCTTCAAAGTAAAAAGATCACGTTTTAGGTAACATCAGTTCTAGACCCTCACCACAGCTGAAAATTATGAATAGAAAAGCAAACCTAATCAAACGTTAATAACACACACTTTAAGTAAAGTTTCCGGAAGGGGGCTTTTATTTTGAGGTTTCTGTTCAAATTTCACGCCAAAGGGCTTTAACGAGTCTTTGACAGATGCGAGTAAATAAACTTGTTGGACAAATCCTCTCAAACAACTATACTCATATAAGCTCTGGTTCGACTAGAGCTTTTAAACTTGTTTGCGTTATCAAGGATTAAAACCGAAAGATTTATACAATTTTCAGTTCGATAATGTGTTTGTAATTGGATAAGTTATTGAGCTGGCGTAACTTGGAGTGACAAGTCTCCAAGGGCCCTACACCCGGCTTAATTACTTCTGATTAGCTTAGTTAGGTAGTGGCAAGTGCGAGTTTGACTGACGGCAGTAGGAACGGCAATTTATCGGTTTACTGAGAACTGATACCGGCAGTCTAAACCGAATCAAATTAAATACGTGTGATGGTAATTTACAATGACAACACAATAGAGGCATTGGGGTACTTATCAAGCGAAAGTACATTTCTATTCAAAAGGAAAGCGAACACTTACTAAATGGTTATCTATCTAAATAGATAGAATAATTTTCAGGCTGTTTCTATGGATAAATTTAAACATTTTAGGATTTATGTGTCATTGTCAGTCTTTCACACAAGTCATTTTTTTCATTGAATATCATGCCAATGTCACAAAATTAAAAACAGGTTGATCAATTAGGGGTCGGTTAAACCGACTCGGTTTATGAAACGATGTATTATTATTGTTATAATTGCTATAGACACCAATCAGATCACCTCTACTAAATGGCAGTTGCACGAGAATTTCATCTGAGAACTCTACTTTAGCAAGAAAAGCTGTATTTGATCGTAAATAATATTTTGAAACTATGCAATTAAGTTCTGTTAAACAATACATGTGTTACCTATTGTTGAAGTTTCGTTTATTTCAATGTTACCAAGGAACAGTTAGAAAAAGCCCCGTTTACATTAACGCAAAATTGTCAAAAACGGGCAGCAATGAAACAAAAAATTGTTTTAGAATAGGAAAATTTTATATTTATTTTTGCTGTTTCCCAAATTACAACAAAAATTGTTCATAAATTGTTTGTGGCTTCGTTGTAGAGTGAGGAAAGTTTCAAATTCAACAATTAACAACTTGACTCCCTTAACATTTCACATCTCCTTAATTCAATAAACGAACTAATACTGCACTTGTAAGAATCTCGAGTTGAATCCAATATTCACAGCTAATTAATTACAGCTGTCTCGGAAGATCCTTTCAACCAGAAATTAACCTAATTACTTTAACTCCCTTGATACTAAATATTCTGATGTATTTCATTAAAAATGTTTCCGCAATAATTACATTTATATGCCACCCCAGACAAAAAAATGTCATGTATTGTTGTTTAACTCAATAAAACTTTGTTCATTGTTCAAGAATAAATACACTTTCTCCGTTTTAATCATAATAAAAAAGTTAATATTCGTTTCGGGTTCATATAACATAATTATTGTTTATGTAGCCGTTTAATGAGATTCTTCCATCTTTGTACAGTTGAAGACAAAATACTTTGGTCGTCATTTTTCTGACACTTTAATGTAATTCAGGCTTTAACGTTAAAATGAATGACAATTTCAAATTAATGACAGCTATTATATCTTTCAAAAATATGTACAACTTGTCAACTATGATTGACAGTAGCTAAGAATAAGGTTAACAGTCCTAAAGCATGCTTTACAATTTAATGTCACTCAAGTGACATTGACGACCAAAGTATTTTGTCTTCAACTGTACGGTACTTTTGACAGTCTTACTTGATAACATTTCAGATTTACACACAAGTGGTAACTAATTACTATTTTATCATTTATTTTTATACTATTCTGGAAATGCTTTTGTGAAGCAACATGTCGAGAATGTAATAAAATATCGCTCATAACTCTATTCCCAAGTGTTGAAATAAAGCTTAATATGTGTGAAGTACCTATATTACAAGATTATAAAGTAAGTCACAAGTGTAATTAAAATGTAGCAGACAATTAACGTGTGTCATTATAATTATGTCAAACGCGTAATTAACACTTAATGTTTGATACATTTTGAAGTTTCCTCTTTAATTAAATTCTAAGGTTGTTTATAAGTTTATTTTTATTGAATAAATACTTTTCACAGAGTTTGGATCTTCGGAAATATCAAATTATTTTGAATTATAAATGGATAAGAGACGGAGCGCGAACATCAAAAGCTATGAAGCGAAATAACACAATTAAAGGCAAATCGTAACAAGGATTCATGTTTCATCACTTAATTTGAGGCTAAATCGATTGCTTTATGACATTAAAGACAGTAACGTAATTTACGCAATTTAATTAAGCAAAAATAAATGGCAATGGGGAAAATATGATTAATTCCAGGAGAATTAGACTTGTCAGGATTACTCCTATGTTTAATAAATCTATGGTTTGAGAAATGAATTGTGTCATAGTCTTAAAAAAAGTTTCCTAATTTTTTTCTTATAAATCAATCGAAAAGATATTTTTGTTTCTGACAAAAAGTTCAATTCCCACGCTTAAACACGGCAAACAATTCCAATAAAACTTTATCTCATCTTATAATTAAAAGGTCTCCGGCAATAATCCCCAGATGTAAATAAACAAGTTTGGCCCTATAATTAGAGCAATTAATCCTCTTGTTCAAACAGAACGAAATTTACGGATTATGAAGAGAAAACGCCAAGTTTCTCCCCCTATTGATGCGAGTGGACATTATCCTCAAGCGAGGAAAAAGAGATGGCGGAAAATTCGAACAAATCCACTGTTATTATTAAATTAATTAAGTTGATTTCTGCCTTAACTAACACAAAGGACGACGAATTACGTATCAGTGCACAATTTTTAGAAGTAGTTGGTTGAAAGTTTATCAAGTGACTCAATATTCATGTTGCAAATTGATGGATGGTGCTTTAACGGGATTATGAAAAATGCGGGTTAGAAGTATCAAATTAAAGCATTGATTTTTGATCAGTATTGATAAAGGGGTATGCGGGCCCTATCTGGTATTTATACAGTTGTCAAATGCACTGCTGACAAAATATTTGCACGAGAGGACTTTTCTGTGGCAAAGATGCTTCTAAGAACTAAACTAACCAGAAATTTTGTAAGCAAGACATTTAAAAACTATTTGTTACATGCATTTGATAAACTTTTGGAGACACTGTGAGCTGTATGTAAATGAATTTTAAATGTTCCTGTACAGGAATGCGAATTACTATTTCTGATAAATAAAATTATCTTTCGTATAAGTCAAAGAAACGATTGGAATTCCTTGTAAATTAATTATCTCGTTTACCATTTATCCATTTGAAATGAACCAAGTTTTACATAATTTGATTATAAATAATCCCATAGCCGACGATTTGAAAAAAGACGGCAATTAAACGAACTATTTTTAACCCACTAATGACGAATGAATTATATTTTCCTTTTGATTCAAAGGAAAATATATTTCAAAGTTTGGCGTATCACTTCAAAACCTATTTATACTTTTACTGCTGAACGCTGTGAGAAGTTGATGAAACGAAATGATGTTACGATTAATTTGCTCACATTTCCGATTTATACTTCTTTTTGCAGGCACATAAAGCGCCCACGGTAGGTATTTATAAAATATCAATCAACTTTTTACGAGATTGTGAGTGTGCAACAAAGTATACACATTTTAAGTATTTTTCCAACTTTCAGAGAATTTATTTAAAATTTTTATTGGGCGTAAAGTGTGATGTTGGTAAACAGCTTGCAATTTGCTATATTGAAATGTAAAATAGAGAAGCGTTACGTTATGCATTAAAGTGATATGAATATTAATCTTTTTAATTTTCTGTTAACACGAGAATTTGCATCATTTTTTTTTACAAAGAAATGGAACCAAATTATTAACACTTAGGTGAGTAATAAGGTTATTGATTAAAGTAAAAGACCAACTATAATAAAATATTTTATTCGTCAAAAGTCAATTTCGAAAAAATTTACAAAAAGTAACAAAGTTAGTTAAATCAAACTAATTCGATCAACAGACTTATTAGTAGAATACTCTCAAATGACCAAACAAGTCAACAAACAATTATAAATAAATTAAATAGAGTTCTGATACTGGCTGGTCACAATACATCAAAAAGCACCGTCTTTTCACACGAATAAGTCACTCGACCGTCCTGGTCCACACACAATCAAATTGAAAACACCTAATAGTATACACGTATTATCACGTGGTATTGTTTGGATTATCACTGGGTTCTTTATCAAGGGCTGTATCTCCACCTCCTCCTTCCTCCCATCTGTTATTGAACATTTCTTTGGCTTTCTTTTCCCAGTCTCCTTTGTGCTTTTGGATATCCTTAGTGTTGGTTGCGACGACATCGTCGGGTTTGCCGTAGTTGGGAGGGTTAGCGTATGGGTCGTAGCCTAATACTGACAACATGGGTGCAATCTCGGCCATGTCTTTGACGACGTCGTCGGGGATGCTGCCCACCCATTTTGTTAAAGCTTCTAAATTGACAGGCTTGATTACCTGGTCGGAGGAACGCTCCACTCTAAACAAACAAAAAATACGCGTTTTAGTAGTTGGAAAAATACAACCTGAAGACTTTCACGTAACGGAGACATTCAATATTATTGAGTAGAAAGGCGACATCAATCGTCCGGAATGGGACGAGACGCTAGAGGAAATTAATGGAGGGTTGCTTGACGGATATTATGAATTTGTGAACTCAAGCAAAAAATTTGAACAATACGGTAGAAAGTAAATAAAGGACCGTAATGGTCAGGTCACTACCGAGAGTTGAATGCTGTCGTGAAATTTGAAGACAATGGGAAGAAATTCAGGTGTGACCAAAAGAATGGGATATTAAAATTTATGAAAAATGTACAAACCCACGTAAACAATAAATTAGCTTATTAATTATTAAAACAATTCTGTAGCCATGTAAAAATATGAATTAACTTCTGATACTTGAGACTATTCCAGTCTTGTCCAGATCAAAATTGCTGTTCAAATTCCATCAAATGTTAATTTGAAAACATTTTTGGAAATCGAATGAATTCTATGTCTTTTGTTCTTTTAATAAAATTACGAAACTTTCTTTAATGAAAACACTGCCGTAAACTAACTACATGCTAATACAAAGAGGTTTTCACTGTCAATAAGTAGTAGTATCAATAAGTGATATAACGTAACGCGTGAAAATATTTTGTGTCAAATTTGAAGCGTTAACGCTATTAGCCATTCCGGAATGAAAATTATCCACATTTCGAAATGACCGGCACGTTACAACGACCTACACACACCGGTGCTTTATGCTTTCATTAAAAAATTAAAGTGTCAACGCGGTGTCATCAACACCGTAAAAACCGTTTCATATTTTAAATCAAAATAATCTCTGTTCGCAATATATGATCACGAGTCGAAATAGCACAAACCACGAGCAAAATGCTTTTCCATTTATGCATGGGATGTTTATGTTGGTTCACTTGCATATATTCGGTCTGATAAATTGTTAAACCACATTTGTAACAATGCACAGCACTACCAAAATGTTTTATGTTTGTTAGTTTAAAAGCTGATGTACGGTCGAATCGCGGCTTTACTCTCTTTTTGTAACCTCTGTGCATTTGTCGCTCGAAATGCTCTTCTCAGACGGAATTAAACAAGAAATAAGAAGAATCTCGTAAATTTGTGTCACACACACGTACAGGAAGTGACACGGACATGCTTGAATCAGTAGTTTATAGCTTTTGAACTACTAAAAGCCGAACCTAAAGAGTTGCAAGTTTATGGCACTTTTAAACGTCGACAGTAAAAAGGGAAACGACATTAACTTTTGGCCAGAAAATTACCCGCCCAATTATTATGAGCGGTTTATACACGGCGTTAACATTTCCGGACACCTTTAGCCAAAAATTTCACTCGATAGGATAAGCCTATAAAAATTAATGAAAAGTTTTATTCATAAAAAATATTAAACAAGCTCTAAGACTCTGCAAAAACAGTTTTTAGGAAAGCTCAATTTTATTTTAAGGATGGGAGAACCCGTTTGTTTCCGATCAAATTTTATTGACACTTATGAATGCTCAAAGTTCGTGTGAAAGTGTCACTGTTGAAATAGTTAAAAGTTAGAGACTAGAACAGAACAATAAATGATTGATTATTGACACCAACAGGCAAACTTTTCTCCTGTAATAAATGACTCGTTTTAGAAAATTTATAACCCTTGAAACGCCTGCGTTAAATTTGATTAAACAAAAATCGAAACTCCGCCACTAAACTACTCACTTGCTCAAGCTAACACCATTATTGATAAACTCATGGTGATGTAGCACCGACTCGTTCCAGGGAATGTCCAAAAACTTGAGCACTTTCTCCATCCACTTCCTCGGATGCAGCACCAACTGTTCATAGGGCACCTTCAAACACCTATTCGGCCCCAATTCTTTACACTGATTGTTCATCGCCTCGACGGCACTGTTCCACTTTTTCAAACATTGCCTATAACTAGTCAGATCGAATCCAGTTATGGTCACTTTTCGCGTGATGATCGAATGCGCCGTGGCACGACCATCTCGCACCATAAAAATAAATTTCGCGTTCGGGAAGAGGTCGACGACGTAAGTGCCCATTTTTATTGTGAGAGGGTCTTTGTTGCAAAGACGTGGTGCCGGCTCACCGTGTTTTACTATTATTTCGAGTGTGAAAGCGGCGATGGCCGAATCGAGGACCGATTTTGTTATACCGGCCTCTTCGAGACGTAGAGATTCCTTTTCGGATTTCAACCAGTGGAAGCGCAACTGGAGGAGACGCGGAATTACGCGGGTTTCTTGGCCACATCTGAAAAAAAATAATCATATGAAACAAAATAAAATTAACCTTGTTACGAAGATGCAAAATTATTCAAGTGCAAGCAAGCGAAGGATGGGCTTTTCTACTGTGTTCCTCAAGTGTTGAAATTTTCCAGCTAAGTTCTTGCATGTTCGAACAAGTAAAATAAGAAGATTGTTGTTGAACTTCAATCAATTTTCCGTCTATATTTTTGTGGTGTTATTTTTGATTAAAAGCTCCCACAGAAAGGGACGCGTTCCCTAATTTTTCCGATAACGCAAAAACTGAATAATAAAAAATACACACTTTACCGTTTTAATAAAACAGTCCCGTGTTAATACCGATCGTAACCACCATGTCAGCTAGGTGAAGGGTCGAGAATTATATAAATATTTTCGATGAATAATAAAAGAGTGAAAGTCAACTAGACGTGACATGGGAGAATGCTGAATTTTTAACTCAATGTATCTTCTGTTTCCAATTTATTAATATAAAACAACCAATGATTTTAAGTTAGAAAGTTTTAAGTTAGAAACGAATAACCATTTTTTATTTCTCACAATTAAATAAATCAAATTAAAATATTTCACTTTTCAAAATTAAATTAGGTAGACTTAAAACAATTTAAAGATGTAGGTAACTGAAAAACTGATACAGGAAAGTGTTGGTTCAAATATCGAGAAGTAATAAACAAAAAAATAAATAAATAAATAATAATTTTGTGTTTTACAATATTTCCGTTTTTCAACATTTTGGTAACATTATAAATAACAGAAAAAAATACAACGGTTTCGGTTTAAAAAAAATCATCATGTTTATTTTATTCCTGATAGCTTTTAAGAATTTTTCTTTCACTCAAAGTTTTGGACTTACAAACTACATATTAAACTTAAAGAATGGCATTTGTAAAATCCAAATTTATTAAATTAAATTAATTTATTAAATAAATATTATTAAAAAAAAAATCGAGTGAGCAACCATTCTTTGTGAATTAAGAACATAAGTGTCGCTAAACCCCTATCGCCATTTAAAATTTTGAAGAGGGTAAAACGCCATAAGAAAAGTTGAAGAGGGTTGATGCTAAATTATGAGAGAAAGTTCTCCCTTGAGAAATTCCACGCATTTTAGCATCAATCAAAAAATTATATTTTCTCTGTTTTGGAGCGTTAGTTGAAGAAACTTTGATGTTTAATATTTAATTAAATTTTTTGTTCGCACAACTGTAGATTGGTGACTCTTTCCTAGAAAAATAATTCTCATTCCTCGCATTTTGAAACACAATCTAGAATGAAGCGCAGTTAATATATTTCCATCTGAAAAGGAAGCAAAAACGAAATTCTCTCGTGAACAATGTATCGCAGCACAACGCAACATCAGACTTTGTAAAAGCATTTCTGCGTCATTGTTCAAAGGTGACAAACTTCAACTTTCCACTATCGTCTTCGACAACTCCCTGCATACTTACTAATACACTTTACGGAGAAATCTCCAAGTAATACGTACATTCTTTGTACCCTCCAATTATTATAACATATCAACCGGAGGAAACAAAAGATTAAGTACAAGAGACTCTAATTTTGCCACGTCCCTACGAGAAAATGAACTAATTTTAGAATCGCAATCTGAGCATTGAAGAAAAGGAGGAAGAACCTTGTTTTCATCAAAACGAGATATTCTTATTTATGTTGGGCGGTGACGCTTTAATAGAATATACCTCGCAACCGCCGGAGAAAATTTTATCCAAAGGTTCCCAAGGGACTCGTTCACGCTAAAAAAGGGAATAACCGCTACTTGTATTAAACATGATTTATTCTAAATCTTAATGACTTATTTTCTGTCCGTGTTGTTTCAAAACAATTTTTATTTTTTCTCAAGTTTCCTTTTCCGCTAGTCGGATTAAACCTCCATTAAAGTATGAAAAAAGTGCAGTGTAATCAGGTGACGCGTCTTCATTTTTAAGCCGAATGATATTTAAAGTTTTTTAATTATATTCGGAGCCAGAAGCAAATTTTAATTTTAAAGTTAAAGCTAAAAAAATATTTTGATGTTAGTCAATATTGAATGCTTTCCGCATGGTCATGCATCAATCTAAATTTGTTGTCCTCGACAAAGCTGTGACAATAACAAACCTGGAAGAAAATTCCCTGCATTAACGCCAGGAGATTTCCTTTCGAGATTGGAGTGTCTCAATTTGTTTTTTATCGAACACCATAGAGGGTATATCTAAACTACTTTCAACGGTTACAAGATTTATATCTTGGAAATCTATTTGTACGTTGAACCAGAAACACTTTTGGAGCAAACGAGAAAAATAAATTTCAAAATAATTTCTTTTATAGTTTTGCCAGCGAGTTTAGAAACTTTCAACGAGCGTGACGCAAATTTACAGAAATTAAGATTATTCTCACATTGTGCAATAAACGTTTTAAAGACTTTAACGACTTAAAGTCGGAAAAATTACCAACTTTACGATCTCTTCAATGGCTTTACAACCTTCTAGCGTTAAAAATTCTAAATGACAGCGTGTATCTCTGCAATATACCATCAAAAGAAACCTTTAATGCAAACCTTAATTGTGTAAAATTGTCGGATAATGAGAAGTTCACGTTTGACGTTGAAAAAATTGTCAACCGAGGAAACTTCCTCCTAAGAGAAAAAGAGCATTGGTTCGAACAGAAGTAATTAAATCCTGAGCTTAATAAATACGATTGTACCTCCTGGCGTCGATCTCTCAACTCCTCGAGGGAATCGTCGCTCAGGACCAAGATAGATCTATTAACTTTTACGATACAACTATCCCAACCTTTGATCGTCTAAATAACGAACTCTAATAGTAACTTAACGAAAAGCACTCGAATCGATTCAAATTCACAGAAAAAGCACTGAAAACACACAAACCAGATCTGATTCTTTTCATTCCGTCGAGCTTTTGAACTGGAATTCAGAGATGTGCGAAATGGGCTTAATTATGTCGCAGAAGCGGTCGTCGTCCTACCATCTCAATCGATTTTAATCTGAAGTCGGCTTTTTCGAAATCCCGATGTAGAGAACGGAATCGTATCAAAAGCTCGACATTAATGCACGACTGCTTTTGCTTCACTCTGATCAGTATCTATGGACCTCTATGGTCGGTTTTTGGAGGTCCTGAGATACGTGACATTTAATAAAGCTGTCCTCGTATCTCCTATATCGTATTAAAATAAATAGTGATTTGTTTAATTGCAAAGGCGGCGCGAAATTAAGAATGATGATAAATACGAAATACAAGAGGATAGTGGAACGTAACATTGGGGCGTCAATTAATTATTTACGAGCTACATTTCGACCGATATAATTTCAACGTGGCACTTACAAATATCAATAAATTTTAAAGATTTAAGCCCAGCCAGGTGCTGAAAATTAAAGTATTAACATGTTTTATCTACAAATAAAACATTTACTTTGTGATTTATCCACTTTTTCTGAGAATTCAATTGCAAATACAACTTTAATCTTTTTCACTTTCTTCAGAAAGGTCAAAAACAAGCATGATTTACGTTTCCGTTTTCAAATCAAAAATCTCCCATTCTCGTTGAAAAAAATAGCTTACTAAAAACAATTTTAAAAATTCATGTATACAAATGCTATTTTGTTCTACTTTTTGAACATGACTATAATTAATAATTAACATTTGCAAAAGGAGTTACTGTGATAATTCTACTGCTTATTAGTATTTTAATAATACTATAGAAAACACTGAAAATTCTCTTTATTCCTATTTCAACATAGGAAGTAAAATAATTATGTGCGTTAGATTTTCTGTATTATTCATATTCTTTTTGAGACAAATAATGGGATATGTAGACAACATATGCTCAGAAATGCAGGCTCTTTAAAATGATTATTTAGAAACTTAAAACACGCCGCAAAATGGATCTTTAGGGGATTAGTGCTCTAAAATGTTGTCTTGTACATATTTAAACATTTTTTTAAATCAAATTCGTTGCTTAGAAAACTCGTGCAAAAAAATGTTGTACGCAAATAGTTTCACACACAAATTCGTCCTTAATTACGATTCGTCCCATAAAACTTTACTTTGCGTACTTGATACATAACTAGCGATTAAAGATCTATCTTTGGATACTAACCAATATTTCACATCTTTAAGTTTCTGTCCTTCTGTTGAATTAATTAGTGAAGCAATCAATTTCAATTAGAGTAAATGTTTAAGTCCCAGATGCGCACTTTCCGCATCAGCTGCACTGGGCAAACTGTTCGTCTGTTCTAAAAGTAACATAAGTGGCTCATTCTTTACAAAACTCTCCGTTATGAAGTGATGAATAGTCGATAAACCTTTGCATTAAAAATCCAGAAGAAAATCCTCATTATTATTCCCGATCCCTATAAAAACCGCCGAGAGCATCGAAAATAAAACGCTTTTTATTGGTTGAATCATTATGAATTAAACAGACGTGGTCCACCCTTCGCATCCAATTTGTAATCAGAGAAGATTGAAAATGTAAATCGGGCGAGAAAAATCAAACGAATGTCAAAACTTTTCAAATTGAAAATTTTCCCACAACTCCCCGACGAATTACATGAATACATAATAGGAATCGAATCAGACGGAAGAAGCGAATTAAATTGATGCCACCACCTGGCGACGGCGGTTTCAAACTAAGCTCCACTAAAATTGGATTAAAGCTACGCTTTTCTACCACCAACGTGAATTTTGTTAATTTTTAATTCATTATTATTGTAATGATTCCACTCAAGAATATTCCGAAAGCTCAAAACGACAGAGACGAAATATCGCATTGGCGAGGAAAAATCTCCACGTCTTTTTTAAATGAACAAGACACACGACATGATTACTCTTGAGAATACCAAGGTATATAGGACCATATTAGACGTTTCAAACACCGACGAAAATTGCCACCGCGATAGTAATCATGAAAAAGCTCGCGTAGAAAAATGGTGGATGCGCCGGGATATACGCTCATGCAGCGTTACTGAAAAATAACATCGTAATCCTATCGTGCGTTTTTGACATGTAAAATATGCCGTTATTTAGACTGTTTGGGTAAAATAATAAACTTAACGGAATAATAAACTGGCATAAAATTAAATTAATAGCGCAAATGTTAAATGTGAGAACTTTCTAACTGACATAAAAAAATACAAACACGTTCTCCAATTATACAAAAATTGTATTATACTCGTATTCTAAATTTAACAATTTTATTGTTTAGACAAATAAAAAACCTTTATGACTACAATTATTAAACCTATTTTAGTTTAATATTTATGAAATAGATTCGAATACAAAAGCGGGATAAAAGCAGGAAGTCAGGATAGACTTATTTTATTTTAAACTATTATTTGAAGAAATACAGTGGAAAAATTTTGTTTCAATAGAAAAATGCTGGCAACATTTGGAAGCAACAGTCAGCTATTTCCATCGATTTCTCAATCAAAATTGTAACTTTGAACCAGTCTGTAATAAAAACTAGAAACTCACTTCGAATGTTAAAAGCAAGAATGTCGTTATTTGTTCTTACAATTCTGATCCTTACTCCTCCATTTTAAAATAACTATACTTCTTTCTTACTAACTGGTTGAAACATTTTATTCTTTCACATTATAAAGATGCAATCTAAACACACTCAAACCGTAACGATGTAAAAACTAAATTTAAATTAGTTTTAGGTCAATTGAATCATTAAAACAAAAATAATTTACGGCTACTGACAAAAATAGAGTTTCTGTAAATCACAGCTTGAACCAGAACGATGATGCATCAAATAACAATTTTACAAAATACTGCCAATCGCGAAAAACAATAAAAGTCATGATAAACAACAAAATCACACTTTTTACTCTTTTGTGACATGTGTTATTAACCCTTTGTTAATTTCACCGATACGACACTTCAGTGAACTAATCTCAGAGTATCACATTGACATGTCGAGTTGAACAGTGCCATTATTCTACTTTTATACAATAAAATTGGAAGAAATTACAACATAATTAATTAAATAAAATAGTGCCTTACCGTAGCATACAATAACTCGTATAATGGAAGGATTTATTTCAAAAAACACTATTTTCATGTATTTACTTTAATAACATGCAAAGCAATTAATTTTGTTCAATAAATAGTTGAATTCATCCGAAGGAATAATGATGTCAACGAAAAAAAACATTCAATTTATAAAAAAATTCCCTTTCTGTAATTTTAGACCTAAACTGCGGTAATCCACATAGGATTATTGCTGCATTACCACTACATTATTAAACTGACAATTTATAACAAATTACTGCAGTGTGGCCAGTCTCCAGTCCGACGATTAGATTAAACCACTTTACATAGATAAACGCCCTGAAACTATCCGCGATAACTATAATTCACCACGACCATCCCTCAGGAGATACAATGCAGCGACGTAACACAAGAGAACACTAAATCACGTCTTGGGGGTCCATCTGACATAGGATGCGTTACATCCCTTCTATGAACGTCCAAGTTTAACATCAAATCTAATTGGACAACCACAACTATGGGCGGATATTCAGATTTCAACAAAAAAATTAGATTTTCGTCAAACTTTTACTCAACGTTGTTTAGATCGTCTTTTTTTTTCTTACCTAACATCAGGATGTGCATCCAACATGGCACGCATAAGAGTGGTGCCCGATCGAGGCACTCCCCCTATGAAAATAAGCGGCATGTCTCTGTTGTATTCGTAGATTTTGTGGTCGGGACCCACCACAAATTTACTCGGCGACACCATTCCTGGGTTGTCATTTTCCGTGAGTCTTAGTATACAAATACGAAACAGGATCGCTGCAACGAACAGCAGGAGAATGGCGTAAAGGGCCGCCCGACGTGGGCCACCTCGACTCAACCGGAGGATCATCCTCGAGATTGTTTCACCTCATACTTGTCATAACTGAAACAAGAAAACAATTTAGGCTTTTTTATTTAACCCAGTGTGGTATTTAGGAGCAGTTTATTGCTTCAACAACAATTTGAATAATATCACTCTTGAGAGAATATTTTCACAAAAGTTGGGCGATCTCCTGGTTTCAGAGACAAACTTGTGCGAATCTGTGACAAAAAAAATTAATAATACGTTTTTTTTTGTAAAAATAATAAACGTATGGGAAAATTCTTGTCCAAATTTGCTGACCATTTATGTTTGACGGTGTTGGCAGCTATCAAGTTTTTTAGCTTGTTAAAACTGTACATTATTCTCTGATGGTTTGCGATAGCCCTCATAAAACCGCTCTGGTTTAATTATATAACTCAACACACCCACGAGTTGTAGCCAATGTAAATTTTACATTTTATTTGATTCACTCGACCAACAAAAACAGAAATTTCGAAACTCTGTCTTAGTTAATCAGCATTCGCCTGCGGCTTGCTTGCTGCAGATACTAAATTTCCAGTTATTGATAAACATTTTTTCGTTTTACTAAACAAAAACAAATCAGAAATGTTAAGAGTCAAAATTAAGAGAAAGCGGAAGAAGCCCACGTATAGGTGCTCCCAGCAAGCTTGGATGAAACATGCTGTATCCTTGCATATTAGATGATAAATCATCCGATTCAATTTACGGCTGTCATTAAATTTTGTTGACAGTTTTTATCTCCTATAAATATTCAATTACGTGTAAAATTTGTGCAACCATCAACTCGTTAGTTCATTAAGCGTGATTTTTTTTTTCTTAACAAATTACTAAAAAACGAGAGTAATTAAGAGGAAGTTCAAGCGGCGGCTGCGTTTGTCCAGTCCCGACTTGCTTTTTTAACATTGTAACGTCCGAAACTAATTCAAAACTCTTGATGCAATTCTGAATAGTTGAACAAATGTGCTCGCGAAGTTGAAATTGTGTATTATTCAAATAGTACAACTTGAAATATAAGCTCGGAAAACTTTCGAAATTATGTACATAAAAGCATTAATGTCGCGTTTGGAAACGATGATATCTCAAATGCGTTGTACCTATATATTTAGAAAAAAACACAGAACAATTTCATCAAAACTAATGAATTTTGAGCACCCAACCTTCTTAAGTTTTAATAAAGCAAGTCGAAGCAATTTCGCCAATTTTTAATGACGGCATTCAAATCTAAAAGACATTAGACGAAAAATAATCTCATCTAAATTAAATAAACATAGAAAGCCGTATAAAAAATTAATTACTTTTGGCAAATGCATAATAACAAAAAGACTTCATTTGCAGTCCTGCTAGAATTACCTTTGTACGAGTATTGCCATCTCTAGGCAAACCTACAATGGAATTTCACGTCGGAAATAATACCATAAACGAAAAATTGAACGTATCAAAGTAGATCTATTGTTCGTCGCTTTACGTTCGCTCCAATACCAGTCCAAGAACATCTTTCACAGTCTGCGACATGTGCACATGATTTGTTGCAAATTGTCTCTTTGATGCCCGTATCCAGGCATAAAATGCAATAAACCGGCAACGAAAATATACGGTAATTACCATAACAAAATTTTCCTATTTTTATCAATTGCGACAGTGCGTCGGGACAATCTCCCAAAAGCCCTTCTAGATGGATTCAGACGAAAAAATGATGATACCCATTATTGTTATTGCCTTTACGAAAGCGATTTGACGACAACGACGCAATTTCGAAGAGATTAACTTCACGTTAAGAGAAGCAGTGTTTTAGAGTGTTTACACACGTACTTCTTGCACGCGTATCTTGCTATATTAAATTCAAGTGGAGGCAGGAGAATATGGCTTCAGTAAATATTGACGGGGGTTATCTGACACTTTCGAGATTTCCTCGAACACTTAAGACTAGCTTTTATATATTGCTGATTTCATTTTTTGCGAAATGGGAAAATTGCCCATTAACGAAATGGCCGAGATGAGAGAAAAAGATCAATCGTGGATACAAAAATTGATTTATTTCGTCGATTTTCAACACCGACAATCGGTTAATTATCTCGCGAGATAAAACGAGCCAATCTAAGAAATGAGAGTAGAGAATCCAGCTTATCAGTGATTGCCTACGATCGTTAATGACACGCCCAACACACTCGTTCGGAAAATCGGAATGGTTTGAAGTGTGTTTTTAACGGACAAACTGTTTCACAAACTTTTATTTTTCAATAGAATGCATGGCTGCGGAAAATTTCTCTGTCGAACAATTCAAGCAGTTTCATATTAAAATCAACTAAACTTTCTGAAAAGAGGTGGATCTTTTTGAAAATAGATTTTGATTTTGATATAAATAAAAACAAGATTCATAATTCTGTAGTAAGGACAGTCTCACAAAACTAAAAATTAGTGAATAACGAAAGCTTTTACGCAAAAAAGTAAAAATTGGATCCTTGTTCCAGTCAGTTTATTTTCTCCATGCCTTAAGAAAATACGAAAGGAGAATAAACATTTACACAAAATGTAATCAAAATCTGTTGAAACCTATATATATTTATATACAGGGTGCGCCAGAACTCGCGCCCCAGAGAAAATTTTCAAGTAAGGTAAGATACCAGGAACATGAAAAAAATGTTGACATTTATTTTTTGACATTTGACATTTTTTTAAATCTATTTAATGATAATGATGATCTTGTATATGTTTTTTTACAATTATTTAGTAAAGGGACAAAAGTTTTGCCAATAAAAGCCACAAATAACATTGAACAGAGTTACAATTTAGGATACAGCTTCTTTGTTTCCTCTTTTAATATCCTATAGCAAAAAACTTGGAAAATTATTTTTCCAACAGAAATAAATAAAGTCAAAGTGCAAACTTTAAACCCTCATAACTTCAAAATTTTTATAGATAAATTTTTTTAAACATTTTTTCCATGTTCCTGGTATCTTACCTTATGTGACATTTTTCTCTGGAGCGCGAGTTCTGGCGCACCCTATATACGAGTAACTCAAGAATTGATAAAAGAGAAAAAGTGTTTTCATGTGAAGTAAACAACGGCTAACTTATTTCGTAGTAAAATATCGAGAGATCAAGATAGTTTGTAATCGAGTCATCTTTGAATCTGAAAACGTATATCTGTTTTTGAACTAACTGCACCGGAAACGTCAAATAAAATGACGAAGTTGAAAGGTAAAACGGCAAAATGGGCTGGAATAATTAGCCGCTGACGTTTAGGTAAATCATAAATTTAGTTATTAAAATCATCTTCTTTTTGATCATGCCTTTTTACCTTTTGACTTGTCATGTTATTTGACATTTCACAGACATACGTTTTCGAATCCAAGAATGACTCGATTACAAATTATCTTAATCTCTCGATATACTTATGTATAATAATCTGAGTTAAATACTAGAAAGGTGACAAATCAAAAATTAACACATTAATACAGCAAAGTAGGTTCTAAACCGAAACTAATTTAAAATTTAAAAAAAATACATAACCAGGAAAAACCGTGATTAATACAATAATATAAACAATAACTAAAGTTACAAATACCTAAAGGATTTTAACATTAATAAAATGAATTCAAGTTTTGCCTACAAAGTGCATTCTACTAAAAATATTTTCTAGATATAACACTTAAATTTGTTTTTCTTAATTCGTCTCTGATTAAAAAAAATCAGAAATAAACACGACAATAATTACTTCGTAGTAAAATTCACAACAAAATCAATCTAGTTGCATCTCCTGAATCCTTTGAAAAAATTGATTGAAATATTAATAAATTGAAAAACAATGGCTATACAAAAAATTTGTAAGTAATTCTGTGATGCATTTTGCATGACGTTATTCGAAAACAAATATCTTAATAAATCAATGAAAATTAAATTAATTAATTATCCACTTGGAAATTTTGGAACTCAAATACTAATTAGACCGTCCTTTCTACCCACGATTTTAAAAACAGTATGTTTAAAAAAAAACTGTTATCATACAATTATCTTTCGCTGTTTATTCGGTTTTTGACCAAAATTTGTAAGTTTTGGAATAATTAATTAAAAGCCAATATAGCAATTATTTCTGTTACCAATTAAATAATCGGAAAGCTATTAAGAATTATTTGGAGGTTCTGTATATTTGGACTAATTTACTGAGAATTGTAAAATTATTGCACGTAGTGAATGTAGTCGGAATATTGGAATAATCCAATCAGTATTCCGTATTGACTTTGTTAGTATGAGAAATGCAGGTCTTGGTTAAGCAAATTGCTTCTATTTAATCAGAACACGAACGTGCCACCGGCCATATCTAACTCTGTATTTACAAAAATATTTTCCCATATTAGTTAAAAAATATGAAAATTGAAATCTAAATCAATCAGCATAAATTGCAAATTCTGATTTAATGTTCTGGAGATTCCTACATCTAATTACAAATTTACCTGGTGATAAATATTATCTTCCGTTGCATTCAGCCTCATTAAAACTTATGATTACAAAAGAATCAGTTGGCACACCCGAGGCTAATTTATCGGTGGAAATTTTCTAGACTCGCAGAAAAAGACGTCCATTCTTTTGTGCAAAACTTGTTTCTTGTCGCGCATTTATTTATATCCCGAAAGCTTCTTTCTATAGTTTTCCGCTTAATCATTCTTTTCATTTCTGTTTTGCCAGTCTCTAATGATAACAACACATTTTGCTGGCACAAAACATTTATAAATTGGATGGATCTTAATTTCACTGCGGGTTGAGCCATGCACACAACCAGAAGAAGACATATAAAGATGGGTACTTCAATTAATCAATTCGCAAGGCTGAAAAGGGATTCATACAAATTGAAAATGGCAAAATGTTATGTTGGCGTTTAAATTAAGATTTGAATGGTGCACATGTATTTTAAATATTTGAATTCCATTTGGAAATTTCATCCAAATGTTAATGTAAAACCAGTGAATCCAATAATGAAATTGTGTATCTCATTACGCAAATAATAAATTTTATTAATATCATTGTTAATACCTTTGTATAAT